TTCCACCATAGGTGGCCTCAATGTTCAATTATTACTCCACTATCACTTATAACAGTATGGGCCAGAGCATTATACACCTCGAGTATTCAACAAAAGGGAATCTATAGTCAAAAAGTGGTACAGCCTTTAGCCTGGTTGCCTTCCATATTAGAGAGCTCGAATTAATTTAGTTGTATAAACTTAGTCCAATATATTATTTATCCTACAAATTCAGTTGGAGGTAATTGAGGAGGTTTGGTTTGATATGTGATCATGCATGTGCATTTGATTGATATATATTTCTTTTTATTCCACTTTACCTGCTTGTTTACAATTTGATTTGTAGATAGATAGTTTAAATTATTTAGTTATTGGGACTTTGTCTCACCCCTTGATTACCATTTATAGGTGATAGTATTGATAGGAGCAAAAGGGAAGAGCCAGGTGAGGAGTAGTTTCATATTGCATTTTGTAATGCCCTGATTATGTGTAATATGTAAATGATATGGGCGCACGCATGTTGCCAATTAGGATTTGCATAGTTTTAAATGTACTTGCATGATGTGTTTGGTGAGATTGCATTTTAGCTTGGATTATATTATGAGAAGTTGTTATGTTGTGGGCTAAAATGTTAATGCAAGTACGTGGATAGATAATTAGTTTAGTTATGTGGTGAAATGATCAAAAATATTATTTGAATTATATTATTGTACGTGAAACTAATCCATTAGGTGTTAGTTGGTCCATTTGAGGTGGTTCAAGCCTCACATGAGGCTAATATGAAGCTAATGCAATAAGGTTGGGTTTTGGGACACTTGATTACACTTTACTTTTGAAAAATGATCACTTTGCATTCAGGTGTTCAGTTTTTTAAATGAAGTGATATTTAAGGATAAAGCATGTGCCATTAGCTAGATAATTGAATAAACTTTAGGTGAACGCTTGAATTACTTTAATCAAAAGATGGACAAGGCAATGACACACTCTAAAAGTTCGCCTTTAGATGCTGCCATGCAAGGATGGAGCTAGAAAATTTTATCAGGGGGCCGAGATGACAAAGCATATATTAAAGGAAAGTCAAATATATATATATATATATATCTCACTAACATAACATAAATATTTCAAAGTATATATTTAATTTTACAAATATATAACAAAAATAAATATATACTTTCTTTTTTAAGTTTTGCTCTTTTCATGGCATAAGAATAATTAATTATTATGTGTATAATAAACTTTTAGCAATTTTCTTCTTAATATAAATTTATCATTAAATTGGTAAAATTTCATCTTCCTCATGAAGATTGAATGATTCAAATATATCATTAGGATCTAAAATTCTGTTCAATCTAAGATCTGGGTTTGAGATGTAAGAGACAACCTAAATGAGAAATCTAAATGAATACGCCAGATCTTGATATTTGTTCTCTCTTCATTGGTTTTTTTTATTTTTGTTCTCTCTCTCTCTCTTGATTTTGTTTTGATTTTCTTTGCAATTATGCGTATTTTCTTCACAATCAAATGATGATGGTGATGCTTATAGATTAGTAATCTTTTCTTGGCTTGGTTGTCCACTTATGCTCTTTGCATTTGTTGGCTTACTTGTCAAAAGATTTCTTGGGTTGATTTTCTAATTTCTTCAATCTCTTCTTCATGGTTGTGGCTATTACTTATCAAGGTTTTGGGTATTTGAACTTGAAGGGTTTGGTGAGGGTGGATTTGAAGAAGATGATAAGGATGATGAGGGTTTTGTTTTGGATGAAAGCGACATGAATTTGATGAAATCAAAAGGTGATAGACAAATTAGTTTGATTGGGATTATGATGAGTGAGAAGTTAAATGACTTGAGGATGAGGATGATAAGTTGAATATGGATAGATTTGCTACAATAGGGTTGGGTATGGTAACCTTTAATGAATGATTCTGGCAAGCAAATCCCAGTATGGAGTGTTGGGAGTTGTAAGGGATTGAGAATCTTAGGCAAGTGGGGATATGGAGTTTGAGTCATATACCACATGTAAGTTTTACAAATTAAACATGGCATTTCTGTTGGTCAAACTTGAACTTTGAAGGTAAACAAATGATGCATTTAATAGCAAGGTGAAAAAGCCCCTTTTTTTAGTTATGGGAATATCAAGCTCCAAATAAAAATTTATGATACTTAGTGTTTCTGGAGAGAAATTTGTACTCTCTTTCGCTTTCATCATTCTCCTATTAATCTCGCCAATAACTTACCATATATATTTTTACTACACGTATTTGCTTTAAATTCAAAATTAATTAATTTAGCAAATAAGACACAAAGCTGTACATCAAGCTGTTGGTCCCAATCGTTCATCAGTTTTTTTTTTTCATTTAATCTAATCACTTGAAAAACGTTTTGATAATTTATTTTGATTCATGTCAATACATGGTGAAAATTGAAATAGACCACTAACAAAATGAATGGCATGGGTTGTAATGTAGAGCAGGTTATTCGAGCCAAATCTAAATATGTCTGAAAAAATTTAAGGCCGGGCTTTAAACAAATATAATTTTTTTATATTTGAACTAGCCTGAAAAAATTTAAGCCAAGCCTGAACTCCCAAATAAAAAATTTTTATTTTTAAAAATATATAAAATATAATTGAATATAAATTAATTTTTTAATTTTCAGGTCATTTTATACTAAAATTTCATATATTTGAGTTCTATACATCATTTAAGTATTAAAAAATATATTTTATATTTTTTATATGATAAAATAATTAATTTTAAAGGAAAAAATTAATCAAAAAATAATTTTAAAAATAAAATTTAAGTATTTAAACTTTTTAAGGAGTCGAGTTTGTTTGAATTCGAGTTTATTGGGGCCGAGCCCGAATAGGCTTGGCTCGCCCAAATTTTTAACTTTATTGTAATATGTGTCATGTTGTGGGCCATAACTCTTTCTAAGTTTTTAAATTTTTTTAATATTATATAGACAGTCCTTTAAATTTTATATTTTTAGGGAAAACACAATCAACAATTTCTATAGTTTTATTGAATTTTACTTTTAATCTTTATAATTTTTTTAATATTTTTAATTATTATAATTTTAACAAGACTAGGTGACGTTTGCTAATTAAGTTTTTATAATTTTGGTATTTTAAAAAAAATTTATAGGAATTAAAAGCAAAAACCGATAAAGTTATTGAAATTAATGATTGTGTTTTCCCCACTTTTTAGTTTGGAAGAATGACATTCAAATCTTAAAAAAAAGGATCAACAAAGGTTTGGTCCTTGATAAAATTTTAAAAGAATATCAATAAAGAACCTTAGAAAAGATTTAATTTCATAAAAGAACTTCTAGTAAGTAAATATTAACAAATCAACAAGCTAAGTGAAGTTCTTATTTTAACAAGCCTCCAATCCATCTACTTTCTTATCAAATATTAAATTTATTCAAGGGTTTTTCATTGATATTCTTCCTAAAATTTAAAAAAAAATAAGTTATAAATATTAATTCAACTAATTACAAATTTGGAAGTTCCATCCAATGACAAAAACACATTTAAATTATAAATTTAATTCTCATTTTATGATGGGGATTCTTATTTTATTTGCAACTGTAATTAATATTTGTATCTCATTTTTCAACAAACAAATAACGATAATCTACTTGTCATTAATTTAATTTTCTAGAACTTTATTATATATCATTGTCCTATTTAATTTTGGCCCCATAAAAAATAAGTTGTAGCTCCGCTCTTTTTTTATTTCTCTCTCTCTCTCTGTTTTTTTTGGGCCAAAGTTATAGCTTTGCTCTTGATTTTAGCCGAGACTATTCATTGAAGCTCAAAACTCACTCAACTTGATCTAACCCGATCGAACATAATCTAACTCAAGTTGAGAAAATTAGTACGATGAAAAAATTAGATTGATCAGACTAAGTTATAGAGAGAGAGAGAGAGAGAGAATTTAATGAAAGAAATTGACATGAGGCGAATGAGCATGGAAGCACGTGTTAATATGAACAAGTCAAGGGGTGTGCGGCCATGAGCATGAAAAGGACCTAATCACCTCAGCCAAGACGCAGCTTCTGGGAACATTAACGCTTTTTCCCTCCACCAGTTCTTTCTCCCCCATTACGTTGGTCCTTTTTGCCACGTCTTTTCGGACTCTCTTTTTCTTCAATTATATATATTATTTTATACCCAATAATGCTACTTTATAATTATTACGAACAAGGATCCCTATTTTTTATTTTTTGCATCTCCATCACCGATTCCCAGACAACCTAAGAATGAAGCCCAAGAGTGTGGGACCCATAATGCTGATATCCAATCAAAAATTGAAACTTTTTGTCTCCTTCTTCCTCTCAATTCTTCCATTTTTGTTCACCTTATATGCTTACCCTTCAGATTCATGCATTCTAATCAACAACCTCACCGACGGCTCCCATTGATTCATCCCACGATCTCCAATCATTTTTGATCCCACCATCCTTTTGGTGGGGAGAAAACATTCTCGATGAAAGTGGTTTTGATTTTTACTACCTACTTTAAAAAATGACTTTTTTCATTTAAACCAATCACCCTTGGCTTTTAATTTCCCAGTGGGTGGTTAGTGAAATGAAGGAGGATAGTGAAGTCTCAAAAAAGCTAATCATTAACAGTTAGGTCTTTGAAATTTTTTTAAAAATAATAAATTGCAAATATTAATTTCAATAATTGCAAATCTAAATCCCATTTACAAACTAAAAGTTACATTTAAAATGTAAATATTTTATCTATAATTACTTAAATCAGTGTTTATAACTTATTTTTCAAACAATTTTGATCAAGGATCGAACCGTTATTGATTTTTAATTTTTTTTAAATTTAATTGTCATTCTTTCCCATTAAAATCAGTTAATATTTTAATAAAATAAATATATTCTCCAAAATTGACTAAGTAAATACACAGTGGTGGGGGTTGACCGCATGCGTTGTTAACTTTTTACTGTGTGGGACAGAGGAAGGAAGGAAGGAAGGAGAGAGAGATGGATATTGGAGACGCAAGGTGCTTATTTAAGCATTCAGCTCAGGCTCTCTGGTCTTTTTCTTTCTCATTCCTCATTTTGTTCGTTTTGGGTTCTTGTGATAATCTGTTAGAGTATAGTATTAAAGTAGCCAAGCATCTATTCAGCTTTGGATTTGTAAGTCTCTCTCTTTCTCTCGCTAGTTAGTTCTCTGAATCTTTTATCTGCTAAATTCTAGGGTTAGTGGTATTGAAGGATTGTCTCTTCTTCTCCCTTCTCCTTCTTGTTTTTGAGCAATCTTATTGTGATGAACATTGAATCGATTGATTTGTGGGGTTTCTATAAATTGATTTCTGGCTACATCCAATTTAAATCTAAAGAGAAATTTAGGGTAATTACTTATTAAAAAGGGTGAAAATATTACGGCGTTGATCCCATAGAACAGATATTCGATTGATTTTGTGCTATTTGGAAGAGATTTGAAACTCTAGATCTCTTAAAAAATGAGATTGGCTTGTACAGTTTCACATTGATTGACTGGTTGGTTTGTTTGCTTGTGCGGTGATGGTAATAATTGTTCATAGTGCAGAAAGAAATATTGAAAACCCTTGCAGTCCAATCTGAAAATGGAAATGGATTGTCTAGACATCAAGTCTTGACTTGAGAGACTTGGGTGAAAATAATCACTGAAGTAAATATTCAGTTTTCTACTAACTAGTGCTTTGGTATGTCAAGAGAGATTTTTGCTTCATGAATTATTGATTCTTGATAACTATTGTTCTGACGAAGGTTTTGTTACAAATATTTCTATTTTCAATTATGTTCATGGCTATTTCCTTATCTATTGTAGATTTGATTTGGCAGGAATCTTGAAAATTTTATATTAGATCTGAAGGTGAGCTGATGTGCTAACACCCGGACACCCAGACAACGAATTCTTCCTTAATCTCCCCTCGGTATCAAATGCAGGCAAAAGTTTCCCCTAATCCACCCTCTTTTCCAGATTTTGGTTTGCAGCATGGTCAACAGAGGTGGGAAGAACCCTCTATGTCAGATTACGGTATCCGGATGGAAGCCTTGTTTAAAGAATTCAACCAAGCCTCCGGAATCCAGTCCTTGTTTCCATGTGATTCAAGCAACGGGATTAAGATCCCCAATCAAGAAAATTGTCAGATGGGCGACACATCCCGAACTGGTAAACTCCAAGATTGGGATCCCACCATGATGTTGGAAAATCTTTCTTTCCTGGAAGATAAGATTCATCAGCTTCAGGGTCTAGTGCAGTTGATTGTTGATCAGAAAGGTCAACAATTCAGACAACCTGATGAAATTATTACTCAAGAAAAGCAGCTTGTCACAGCCGATCTGACGTCGATTATAGTTCAATTGATCTCTACAGCAGGTAGTCTTCTTCCTTCTGTCAGGCTGACTACTTCAGACACCAGTCCATCTGTTGGACAGCATGGCCAGATTCCCGGGATGACTTTTCCTTCTGGACTGGATATGAGTAATAGTATCCAACCACAACGTGATATTAGAGATAAAATATCTGATCATTCCAACCAGATTGACCTGACTAATACGTGTGAAATGGAGCAAATCCACGTGGAAGAACACGAATCAAAAGACGAAGAGGATGTGGATGAGGGCGAGAACCTTCCACCAGGTTCCTTTGAGATTTTACAGCTAGAAAAAGAAGAAATCCTTGCTCCTCATACACACTTTTGTACAATATGTGGGAAGGGATTCAAGAGAGATGCAAATCTTCGGATGCATATGAGAGGCCATGGTGATGAGTACAAAACCCCGGAAGCGCTTGCAAAACCTAACAAAGAATCCGCGTCTGAACCAAAGCTCATCAAGAGATATTCCTGTCCCTACCCTGGCTGCAAGCGTAACAAGGATCACAAGAAGTTTCAACCTCTGAAGACTATTTTATGTGTGAAAAACCATTACAAAAGAAGTCACTGTGACAAGAGTTACATTTGCAGCAGATGCCACACGAAGAAATTTTCTGTCATGGCAGACCTTAAAACTCATGAAAAGCATTGTGGTAAGGATAAATGGCTTTGTTCATGTGGCACAACATTTTCAAGGAAAGACAAGCTTTTTGGACACATTGCTCTGTTTCAAGGCCATACACCAGCAATACCCTTGGATGAATCAAAAGCACCAACTGGGCTGGCTGATATGGAAAGCAAGGAGAACAATAGCAAGGGAGGAAGCTTTGGATCAAATGCTTCTTGTGATAGTGGCATTCAAAACATCATGGATATGAAAGGCATTACTGACGATCCTATCAGTTATCTCTCATCATTGAACTATGAAACCTGTAACTTTGGTGAATTCAATGATTTTCCTCGACCCCCATTTGAAGACACTGAAGGTTCATTTCCTTTTCTCATGTCTGAATCCTTCAACTATGCTCCTAAATGTGGAGGAGAGTCAAGTTCTGACAATCTGTTGTGAATCTTGTGATGATCTATGATTATGATGACGACGACTACGACGACGCTGCTCTAGTTTTACATTGTGCAGGGATTCATTTACTTTACTGATTTCCTTGAAATTTGTAAAGCATAGTAATCTCGTGTACTTGCAATTCCGTAATATAGAAAGACATTTCCTTGAAGTGCATATTCTTTATTCAAACCGAAACTAGTCATTGTCTTAGCCAGAGGACTCTGTCATCTTTCCATGAGAAATAGCTCGAGTGTGTATGATTCAGACTTTTGGGCCATGCAAAAGTCAATATCATTTCTAATATCATCGTCTACTTAATAACCATAATAAATTATTGTCTAGAAATTCAAACCAAAATAAATAAAAAAGGTAAAATCGAAAAAGAAAATTAATTATCCTAAATTTGCCTTGCATTAAAAGATTGAAAAAAAGTTAAACCTTTTCTATTTTTAAAATTATGAGGGAGTAATAATATATATATTTTTTTAACCATGAGGGAGTAATGATTTACTCTTATCAGAAACTTGTGAAAGAATAAAATTAAAAAAAAATTGATGATTCATTTTTCATGCAAAGGCATTGCAAATGCAAGGTAGGTTAAACGAAGTTCTTGTACAATCAGGCAGAATTAAACACAGACCAAAACTCAACCTTGCTTCCCCTAAAGCTTATGCATTATATATTTATGACCAGCAATTAGTCACAGCATTTTGGATCAAATGCAAAATGAAATGTAAGGCTAAACCGAGCTGTTTAGCGGGCGGAACTGAATGGCCTGTAACGAGAATTGTGAAGCAGAATAAGCTTCAGACCCTTGGCACCTTCTCCCTTCGATGATTTCCTCGAAGGGAAACGATAATATTTCTGCCTTAAAACGACATCATCCTGGCAACACCAAGTCTGTCCTCGAGGAGAGCTATTGACCCACAGGAACCTCTCAGAGAATGGGTTCACTAGACTATCACGAAATTCCTGCACCGTCTCACATGGCAACCCCTGCAACATCCGAGAGTTTATCAAGATCTTAAAATATCTACATTCTGAGGTGCAGTTAACGAGAGATAGGCATCGACACAAACTTCAAAAACTACATATCATAACACACTAGAATACAATACAATATACGTAATCTTGGGATGTGTTATCTTGAGTATATAAATATCTAAATGAACGACAAGAAAAAAATTTATAAAGCGTTATATTTCATTAAAACAGGACCTTTAATCTCCGTTACTGGAGTCATCTATGTTCAGTGCATGACCAAGCCCATAAATTTGTTTTTCTTTTCCTCTTTTTGGTAAATTGATTTTCATTTCTGACAACCAACCCCACCCAAAAAAAAAAAAAAAACCCGGTTGCATGTTACACGACAGTGACATTCCTACTAAAGTGGTGTGAGGAGCTTCATAGATGAAAAAAATTAATAAAATTTGCTTGTAGAAAAAGATCAAAAAAAGATATATGACTAATTAGAAGCTGCAAAAGTAGGAAAAAGTACCTACCTCTGCCATGGATTTGATTTTCAAGGTGACATCGTCGCTAAGAAGCACAAACTGTCCATCGTTTTGCTTTCTTCTATGCGTAAGAACATAGTCAAGGATATGATCCTCAGTTGTTGGTGAAACAATTTCCATTGAGCTCTTGTGGGATGAAAGGTAAAAATTCCAACCCTCTTCATTAAATTGAGTACGTGGAGTAGCAGGTGGTGTGGGAGCGATCAGCATTCCCTCGTCTATTGAGCTTTGGACATGAATCCACCACTTTGTCTTCATCATGCATTCCTCAATCCATTCCAATGCCAAAGAAGCCTCTGAAGTTCTTCTAAAGAAACTAAACTGTCGCTTAATGCCGTCCAGTTCTTTTATAACTGAAGATACAGAGTGACTAAGAACCATATTTGTATTGTAAAGTAAAAATGTATATATTAATTCCATTACCTATCCTTGGAATGATTAAACGAGTTCCCTTGAGACCCTGCAAAAGCATCAGAGCTTTCCTAGACTCCTTGTTCAGAAGAGATGCAGTGTCAACAACCATGTTCCAGCTCCTCTCACTGACATGCTGCGAATAAAACACATCTAAAGCATGTGTGATAAATGAACTCTTGAACTATTCAAAGTAAACTTTAACAATCAATTCAACTTACAGAAGGGTTATTGCTCTCATCCAAAATATGTGCACAGGTAATGGCACTGATGTTTTTTGCAGCAGAAACAGAACGAGATGTCTCTGGTCTGCTCTTGCCTCCGGAGTTTGTAAGAAGTGATTGTAAGGGTAACCTTTCCAATCTGTTTTCCCGTGCCACAGCGCCTTGATCTTCCCCCAACTCGATACAACTGCCAAAGGGTCTTCTTTTTGACTTCTGTTCTCTGGCAACTGATGTCTGGTTCTCTTTGCCTGAAGTGCTTTTGGAGATAAAATTAGCATTTGAACTGCGTGCTTTTTGTAACTTGGAATGTGTAGGTTCTTCTAGTTTACTTTTATTTTCCAGTAACAACAATTGAAGGGTATTTGGGCTAAAATTTTCCTTATCTAGAGTATGGTATTCTTCTTCTTCCTCATCTAAATCAGATAAAAGATTCTTTGGAACCGTTTTATCTGTGATATTCTCCTGATTGCTCATATCTATAACATTCTGCTCCAACTTGATATAACTTCCAAATGGCTTTCTTTCTGACTTCTGTCCATGGGCAACTTCTAGATTCAGGTTCTCTTTTTCTGAAACGGGGATCTCACCCAGATAGATCTCAGGGCTTAAGTAATCCTTGGAATTGTGTGACCTTTGTCGTGACTTGAAATGTTTGATTTCTTCCAGCTTTCCCTTCTTCTGGAACCGCAGTTTCAGAGCATTTGGGCTGAAGTTTTCCTTATCTGGAGTGAAGATTTCTTCTTCTTCATCCCCATCTGAAACTGATAAAACATCCTTCGCTTTTGCTTTCTTTTTGATATCCTTTTGGTAGCTCACTTCAACTTGATTATCAACGTTAGCTTTGCTCTTCACTCGACTCTTACTGGTCTGAATCTGAGGGGCACTTGTAGCTTTACCTCTCCTTGACCAAATGTTATTATTATTATTACACAAGAAATCATTTTCAGTAGACTCTGCACTTTTTTCAAGAATTTTCTTCTCAGAGCATCCTGCTGTAGCAGCTAGAAATTGTTGGGTCTGGTTCTCTTTCTTGTTTGAAATCTCCATGTTAGATTCCTCAGACAATGATGTAATTGAGGATTCGGCTGGAAGAGAAATGAAAGAGATGTTATTGTTGCCATTGTCACCAATAGCTTGAACTATTCCATCCATTGAGTGCCCTTGCTCATGGCAAGCGATAGAATTCTGGTTTGGCTTACGGTCTTGGCAACAATGAATTTGTTCTTCACTACCAGGTAATGAATCCAAAGCAACGTCAATTGGTTGAAATTTGGTTTCTCGAGTAGCTTCTTCAACTGTCAAGAAAGTACTATCAGTTAGTAGATTCTCTGCCCCACTTGTTATAATGTAGGCCCCTCTATCATTATCTCCCAGTGTACATACAGACCGAGTTTCTCTAGGCATTTCAGCCGCTACAAGTGAACCTGCTATATCAAAAGATGCAGGATCTAGATTTGTTAGCTTGTTGGACCTATGCTTTTCGAAGGGAACCTTCTGCTCAACAGGTGGTAATTGTGAAGTAAATGTACCTAATGGAGCAATTTGCTGATCATCTTGAAATTGCTGCATTTTGGTCCCTTGGACAGCTTCAACAACTGGCAAACAGATGCTTTCTCTCAAATAATCGCCCAACGTGCTTAAAATGTTGGTCTCTTTGGGAACCTCTGCTTCAGAATAGCCCTGAAATTCCTCTTCAACATGGAATAAAGATCCCCTGTTCACAGAAAAATTAGGCATTTTCTGTGGTCCCTGAGAGGTGGTATTCAGATTACCACTTACATGAGGTGGCGATAGAACTTGCAAATCTGTGTCACACACTTTGCTTTGACTGTGATAGTTTGTAGGCACATATGATATTTCAGTTCCAAAGAGGCCAACAGTAGTTTTAGCTCCTGGGTGGTCATCAGCTGGGCAATTCTCCTCTTCATGACAGTAAAAAGAAAGGCTGTCTTGTGAAGGAATTTCTTTCTTAGCAATGAACTCTAAATTCTCATCAGTGAATAAACAATAGATAGACTCCAGTATTGAATCCACTGATTGAACTTCTTCATTATCTACTTGACAAAAGCTTTCATCCTGCAGGCCACAACAAAGAGAAGAGTAAAGTCAGGATGAACTTTGTTTACAAACAAGCCTTGCTACAAGCCTAATGCTCCAAGATAAATGCCTGAAATCTAAAGCCAAATGACCCCTGCCTGATGCGCAATACAGCTAGAGCTTCCCCATGAAGAGGCGCAATTTAATGACAATGACATCAAATATGGCTTCTCTTGGAGCTTCCACAAGCTACTTAATTGACTTTTGGCTTAGGCATTACTATATTCATCATCTTATCGTGGATCACTATTAACATTTTTCTTTTTAATTATCTAATTTTATCCTATTTTGCCTGAATAATAATATTAAAGATGTCGATCACAAATGATTCATCATCATATTAACACAATTCAACTTTACACAAAAAATCAATAACAGGGAATAAATGAAACATTTTTTACATCTATAATACTTAAACACAAACTAATAGACTCAAAACATGAAATTAAAAATTAAGTTAATATCAAAGGACAGAAAAGAGATTTAACGAGGTCATACATAAATACTATTAAGAAAGAAGAAACTAAGAGTCAACAATATTTATCCTCTTCACCGATAGAGCATCACAGCATGAATTCGTACCTGCGTCATCTCTTCTTCTTCTTCTTCTTCTTCTTCTTCGTCAGGCAATGCATCATCCTCCTGTCCTTTTTCTGCTTCCACAGTCATATCCAATTCCGATGCAAAGGGATTTTCCAAATCATAGGCACGGCTTATGGGAATCCAATGCAGCCGATAAAGTCTACTGGAAGCCCCAATTCTTAACGTGTCGCCCTCCTTCATTTCCACCCTCATACCAGGCTCAATCTTCCTTCCCGATACCCACGTCCCGTGCACTTCCCACGACCAAGAAGCAATCAGGATTCAAGAACCCTAAAATAAAACTCAGAAACAAAGAAGCTACAGAATCCAACATGCTAATGCTAGTAAGGATTACCGGAAGATAAATCGATCACAAAGAGCTTCTGCGAACAAGGATTGGACTGAATCTGGAGGTGAAATCTGCTAATGCTGGGATGAGTGAGCATGATGTTGCAATCAGGATGTCGCCCAACGATCAAGATGTGATCGTGGCGGTCATGATATAGAACGGAAGAAGCTAGGGGTTCTGGTTCAGGGGATTTGTTGACGATGAAGACGTTCTTGAGAATGGCACCGTTCTTCAGCACCGTGAAGACTGGGATTTTCAATTCTGCAGCTTCCGGTAAAGACAGGGTCTTGGCCATTACGCCGGAGGGTGACAAAATCTCCCTCAGGTCTTCAGAGAGAATCTGAGTTTGAGTTCGTTGAAGGTGGGGGAGAGTGAAGTGGGGTATAAAGATTAATTATAGAGTGAGAGAAGAGGGAAATCCGAAGGGTTTGAGCATTTGGCATATTGAAGGATTTGTTTTGTTTGTTTGATTTTTGAATATTCGTCAATTGAAAAAGGTGACCGTTACATAGTGATTTGTGACTCGTGAGGCAACGGCTAATTAGTCACATTTTCCTCTCATGCGACCGGCGTTACATTCCCTGTAATAATGATGCACGATGCACCACAACAGCTGTTTCCATTTTTCAAAAATTATGTGTGTGTGTGTGTGTGTATGTAGCAATTTTTATATAGGGAGAATTTCAGTTTGGAGAAGAGATTTAATTTTAAGTGAATTTAAAAATATTTTAAAATTTTAATTCAGTTTAAAAAAAAAGTCAAAAGAATTTCAACAAAAAAAAATTAAAATATTCTTCACCTGTTATGCAAAATTATTAATTGTTAATTTTCTTACTTCATTTGTTAATTTATGAATATAAGTTAAAAATTATACGAGTTGACATATTAATAATTATATAAAATTTAATATCAGTTTTTCAATTATAAATAGCAACATTAATTATTAAATTATTAACTTTATTTATTAATTTACTAACATCAGTTATAAATTACTGATAGGTCTTATAATTTATTAAAATTAATTATAAATTACTAATAGATGTTATAATTCATAATTAATGTTAGTAAATTAACAAATAAAGTTAATAAATTAACAACTAATGTTACTGATTGTTTAACAAACGGATATAATTTACAAGTAATATTAATAAATTAACCAGTGTAGTAAGAAAATTAACAATTAATGATTCTGCATAATACATGAAGGGTATTTTAGTATTTTTATTGTTAAAATTCTTTTAATTTTTTTCGCTTAGACTGAATTGAAATTGCAGAATATTTTGGACTCAACAAAAATTAAATTTCCTCCTCAGTCCTCAACTGGAATTCTCCCTTTTATATTGGTAAATTCTTTCATTTTGTAGATGCGGACTGATTTAGAAAATTCAAAATTGTTCATTTTTATTTTGGGCTTCATAATCTTATTATAAGCATGTGAAATTGCACTGGAGTTTTGAAATGTAAGATGGAAAAGTTATTGTTGCGTACAAGTATCTATCTTACTATTTATTAAAATAATTATATTTAAAATATTGTTGGGTATTAAAAGTGGTTATTTCTCTTAATAAATACTTTCTCCAGTCCTATTATAAGATACTCTATACATTTAAAAATATAAAGTATTTTTAATTAAATTTCACCCCCAATAAAATAGTTATCTACTTTTCAACTAATCATGTCTTTTCATATTTACCTTTATTAAATACCATATAATAAATATAAAAGTCATTATTAATAGAGATACTTTTTAAAAAATGCAATGATTATATCTCGAAAGACTAAAAATATCTTACATTTTTTAACATCTAGCTTCTCAAAAAATGCCTTACATTTTTGAAAAAAATCTAATCATTAATATAAGACATTTGGTGAGGTATCAATTATGTGGTTCCAATATTATTCCTATTTAAATTGATTAACTATGAAAAAGAATATAATGCAAATTTAAAAATATTTCCTTTAAATATAAATAAAATTGTAAGTTGATTTTATTTTCAAACAAAATTAATAACACAACTACCTCTTCTTAACTCCAATGAAGTGGTTAAATTTATCTTATAATTAAAATTGGAGAGAGTATTTAAATTTTAATTCATCATGTTTTAAGAACTAGCTCTTTTCAAGAGGCTCACTTGCAGTCTAAGATGAAACAGTTTTCATTTTAATGGTAAAAAAAAAAAATAGAGAGATATGTAATATATCAATCAGACACTCCTTGTCATTAGTATTGTAATATACTACAGATTTTCTTACTATTATTATTTTCTTCAAGAATAAAAAAATTAAGTTGCAAATTTTTTTTTATTTTTAGTTTTAGTTTTACGTACTGAATTGTCATAATAGTATAAAGATCAAATTATTTTATCCAACATTACCAAAAAAATTTGTTCACAGTGCATTACTATAATCTTATTATGAAGATAATTTAAACTTTTAACCACCATTTCAGTTTTAAAAAGAAAACTTTTAACTATTATGCACACCCCTACTGTTATGCGTATTATTTTATTGAAAAGAGGGTAGATAATGAATCAAAATTAGTTTATAAAATTCATTATTCTTTTCAGCATTATTTTTCTTTGCTATATTCGGACCAAATAGAACACAGCTTAAACTATCCATGTTAGAGAGGTGTCTATATTTTACACTAGTGCTCACTTAAAAAAAGAAAAGAAAAAAAAAGGAAGAATATAATCTAAACTTATTATCAAAAAGAAGAGTACATGACCATCAAACGTTTAGGTCAACTAGTATGGGGTTGTTCTAATTTAACCAGAGGTCTCAAGTTCAAGTCTTGAAAATGCAACCAGCATGATAAATCTCCTAAGGGGGTGTGATAGAGGCTTTCCTCATAAATGAGCTGACCCGATCTCAATCTAGATTAATCTGATCCCGTATTTGTGGGCTAGAATATTAGAAGCTATTATGGAAAAAAAGAAGAGTACAAGCTAAACTTGGATGTAATTTGTACACTCACCACTCGTTTGGCATTTTGACAAAAAAAAAAATGCTTTATATATAATTCGTACACCCACTACTTGTTTCGCATTTTGTATGATATATAGCATAAGCCCACACGGATTTCGCGAGCAAAAGTTATATTAAAAAAAAATAAGTTTTATTATTTTCAACATTTTTAACCTTAACTCTTTTCATAAAAACAAAATAGACACGTATAAATATGTCAATAAAAAGTTCAAACTTGAGATTTTTTAAGGAGGGATAGGTGGCAGTGCTATTAGAACAACTTCTTTTTTGGCATAATTACTTTTTAGATATTGACATACAAATGAACAAACATTTTGGGTATTTTTTATATAAAAAATTGGGTGTTTAGTAAAACCTAAAATGATTAAGCTTCCGAATATTAATTATTTCGGTGCAGTTCTTAAGTAAGGTGAATCTTTGAAGCTTATATTATTTAACAATTATTTAAGCAAGTCTATTTAATATATAACTTTTTAGCAATAGAAAAGTTCCAATTCTACATTTTTTTTCCAAATTTAAGAGAGTCTTATATATTTTATGCCCTCTGATTTTATAATTGATTTTTTTTTTACATTGAGTCTAATTAGTTTTTTTTATATGATTATTTGTCTAAATCAACTATCAATCAATCAATCAATCAACTAGAGTATACAAATATTGTAGAATGAATGGCCTAAAAAAACCTTCACTCTGATTGGTTGATACAATTTAGTCTCATGTAAATATTACTTTCTAATTGGTTGATTTCATTTAATATGTTTCCTCGTATCCTATCCTGCATCTTTTTTCAAATGCAAATTGTAAATCACCGCTTGCATAGAAGCATTAATTAATTTGATTTTCTCCATTTATGGCATTTGCCTGTTACAAGTTCCCATGGGACTTCATTTTTCCCCTTTTTCATAGTCCCCAGGCCCAATTGTTAAATTTCATATTTTTTTTCAGTCCATAAACCATTTCATTCATTCTTAATTTTTGTTTTTTTATCAATTCGAGCATCACTGTCGTCTAAAAAGAAAGTTCAAGCACTATCAACTCCCACCTCTGAGGCATCACTACCCACACCCATTTTTTGCTGCAACAGTTGTCGTCGGTGCCACTGACATTAATATCGGAGCCACCATTGCATATCCCAGACCCCAACTCATAGCATCCCTTTCTTCATAACGCTTTGAATTTCTTTTTCTCTTTTAGAAATTCACCGCCTTTAAGGGGTTCCCTAAGTTTGGCGGGACATATTCTCATTTTCTCATTTTCGTCGGAGGGACATTGAGCTTCACCAGACGCCGCCGTTCTTTTATTTGAGGGCTTTTACTCTCTCGTCCCTTATCATCATTGTTGTCGTCGGTGAAGTTATCTCAATAGAGATGAGGCAAGGGTGAGGTTTTGATTTCTTCATGTACTTTTCTTATCTTGGTCATTGATTTATTTTTTCCTGGTTTTCAATCTGAAACACGATGAATGGCACTGGTGTGAGACATTTCTTCATTATTAGTTGGTTCTTTTTCAATAGCTGTGATATCTGTGGAATGAGCATCATCCCTAATTTGAGGCAAATATTGGATAGCTCTATTATGCCATTTTTCTTTATTTGTGATGTTTAGACGTAAGCTTTATGTGCATATGTTTTACGGCAAGACTTTTGTTTTTGTGCTTGTGACAAATTTTTTTACTTTCTTTTACCTACCGGGAAGGATTGTGCATGATGAACAATGGTGATCAATAATAAATGCAACTATTTTATACCATAGTATATATTCTTATAATTATAATTATTTTTTAAAAACATTTGTAAATATTAATAGGAATTATACAATTCTTATTAATTGGATAGTGATATAGATTAATTTTGTTTCAAGTCCTTCAAGAATCAAGGATCTCCCCTCTAAGCAATTCTATCGCCATGGTTTCAGTCTAGAAAAACTACTGAGGCAAGTTTTGGGAATGAGATGTACAAGGTCTTAATTATTGCAGCACTGAGTGTGATGTTAAACTGGTCCTTCGTTGTTGGCCAAACTAAAGGAATTGGAAGGAATGGCAGCAACCTATCATATTGTAAATTAAGATTGTTTTTACTTATCAATTTTACATTTTCCAAACATGAATGAAGAACTATTAGCCTTATCTTATATATGTTTCAAGGAACTACAAATGTTGTAGCAACTTAATTTTTCCTGAAGAATATACACTCTCAGATAAGAATGGCTGCTTTTGATTTAGTTGGTAATCCAATAATGCTAGACTCTCACCATAATATATTTTAAGAGCTCATGAGAGTTCTCATATCTAGAAGTTTGTATCTATGAGCAAGGAAATTTATCGTCACATTTATTTTGAAAAATATGTTCATTTTGGCTTTGGCAGTTAGAGGCTTAATACTTCCATGACCATACTACTGTAACACTTGTCATTGCATTAAAATAGTCACCTATTATTGATTCTTCTGCCACCATTGGTACTTC